AGACAAATTTTATATGTTTTCTTTGATTTGTGGTAGCTAATATATAGAGTATAAAAAAACTAAAACTGAATATATAAGTGAAAATGACATCTTGTGATTTGATTATCATTTATAGCCCTTGTCTACATTCCTGCAGAACAGTGGTTTCTCTGATTATTATTTTGGAACACTATATGTAGTTGAGCATTAAGCTTGTGATTGTAAAGTAAATTGAAAGTATGTTATTACAAAAATTAAAAGAAAAGAAAGGGGGTCAGTTCTGTGGCATAGCAGATAAAGCCGCTGCCTGCAGTGCTGGTATCCCATATGGGCACCAGTTCGAGTTCTGGCTGATTCACTTCTGATCCAGCTCTCTGCTGTGGCGTGGGAAAGCAGTAGAAGATGGTCCAAGTTCTTGGGTCCCTGTTCCCACATTGGAAGACCTGGAGGACGCTTCTGGCTCCTGGCTTCAAATTGCCACAGCTCCAGCCATTGCAGCCATTTAAGTAGGAACCAGCAGATGGAAGACCTCTCTCTCTCTCTGCCTTTCCTTCTCTCTCTCTTTCTGTGTATAACTGTGACTTTCAAATAAATAAATAAACCTTCAAAAGAAAAAAGGGAAGGAAGCAGGAAGGAGATAGGGAGGTAGATTGGAAAGTATCATTATATTAGAATTGTATCTATGAAATACATGAACTCTGTTCTCTTTATGTAATAAAATTAAAAACAAATTGATATACAAAATAACAATATTTAATCCACTACTATATATAATATTAAGGTATTATCTTTGCCTATTTAATAAGTTCTGTTTTATAATTTATTATTATTGGTCATTTTAAGTGATTATTTGTATTTTAATTCTTAAGCAGAAGCAAATTAAAGAAGGTAATGTGATTATTCTTTCTTTTAAAAGAATTATTTATTTGAAAAACAGAATCACAGAGGGGGAGAGACAGAAAAAGATCTTTCACCTGCTGGTCCATTTATCAAGTGATCACAATGTCTGGGGCTGGGCCAGGCCAAACCTTGAGCCTGAAAGTTTATCAGGGTTCCTCACATGGATGGCAGGAGCCAAGCACTTGGGCATCTTCTGCTGCCTTCCCAGGTGCACTATCAGCAGGGAGCTAGATCAATAGTGGAGCAAATGGGACTTGTTCCAGCACTGATACAGGATGCTGGCATCACAGGTTACAGCTTAAGCTCTTGTGCCACAACCCTGGTCCACAAAATGTGATTTTAAAAATATTTTCAGGAGTATACCTATAATTTTGCAGCATTTTTTGTCATTGATTTATTGTTTTACTTCATTCCAGACAGTAAAAGTAACATGGATGACTTTTCCAGTACAATAGAGTGTTAAGAACATTAATTTTTAGTACTAGACTGTCTGGGTCAGAATCCCAGCTTCACCACTAATGAGTTGTCTGAACACATACAAATTACTTAGCAAATAAAACATCAGATCTCTCCACTGCAGGATGAAGATAATAGCACCTTCTTCACAAGTTTATCAGGAAGATGAAATGAATTACTACGTCTGAGTATTTAGAACAATGCCTGAGACACAGGAAACATGTAACAAATATTTATTAGGGTGTTATTATCTTCCCAGGTAAATTACTATATTTCTTTTGTGGTTCATTATAGCACAAAGATTTTAGAAATGATGTGATGACATCTGTCTCTCATGACCCATATGCTATCCATCAGCAAAACCTATGGGAACCACCTTTAAAATACATTCAGAACATAGAAAGATGGGGATAATGTGAACTCCCCTCTATATAATCATACCCAATAATATTCTAACAATGTCAATGTTAGATGGGAGTATTTTCATGGGAGAGGTATTTCTAGGATGCAAAAAAAAAATTCTCTGAAGCCCTTTAAGAAACAGCTATTTGTTTATGCTGCCTACAAACCAACTTGAGGGGTAACCTTAGATGTTAGATATGAACAATGACTTTAGTCTGTAGATGAATCTCATCTGCAGAGACACGGTACTATCTAGTGCACCACAGATCCCAATCTCCTAACCAGGATAGGAGAGCAGTCGTTGATGCTTCAACGTAATCATTACTGTAAAAGTTCTGTATTTGAATTATGTTTTATGACTCATAATAACACTGAAATGAAAGCTATATCCATTTTATAATTGAAAATCTGTAATTCAGAGAGGTTAAATAGCTAGCCCAAAATGATGCAACCAGGAAGTGGTGAAAACAGGTTGGGGACTAGATACATCTGACATCAAAGCCTTGGCTGTTTACTCTATAACTGTCAAATGACCTTTGTCACTATACTGCAAGAATTCACATGAGATATATGTAGCAGGAAAAGGTATATGTGAATTTTTAAATTGGATAGAAGGAATCTATTGCTGCTCCATAAATTAATTAACCTATTTAAACCTTGGATTTAAGATTCTATAAATGGGATAGTAGGTACTTCATGGGCTGCTGTGAAAAGTCAATTAAATAATCTGAGCCACATGTTGATTCTTATCAGTACATTGAAATTAGCATCAATAAATGACATTTATAGTGGTGAAGATGATAAGAGGTGACTGACCAGGCAGACTTCCACTGATAGCATTGACTAAATATAATGCCCATGATGGGAAAATGATTTTCTTTTCTGCTCTGAACTGGCCCAGTCATTTTTCACCACTGGAATAAATCACGTCATCCATTTATGGCTACTAATTCCTGGATCCCAGCATGCATTATTTCTTTAAAGTGCTACCACAAAAGATCCTTTAATGTGCTCATACTTAAGCCTTTGTTTGTCCTTCAGCATAATTTCCTAAACCTTGGGTACCAGACTGGCACAGAACTGATTCTCTTTATGGAATCTGCACCAAAGACGGTCTGTGGCAACCCTGGTACTAAGTCAAGTCAACTGTTTCTGAAGGCATGAAATCTACTCCTTATACACAACCCTATATACTCTGAGTCATCTTCCTCCAAGACACTTCTCTCTCTGGAGATAGAGGGAACATACTGCCTCACATACAGTAGGTACTAAGTTTAGGTACAATAAAGTAAAAGCATTGAAGCTGGAATGCTCTCAGCCTTTCTTCTGTTGGCTAAAAAGGATGCTGACTCTGCCAGTTTGGTTCCAGCGCCATCTTCTTTGGAGAAGTGAATTTTGTCTTTGTTGGACTGGTGTTTTGGAAAGTGCATTTGCTACACAGCTGGAAAAAAAAGGGTAAGAGATAGAAGAGCCTGAGCCAAATAGGAAAAATGACCTGAGGATATTGAAGGGAGGCACTTCATGCCTTCCGTGCGTATAATACATGAGAACCCCCCAAAAAAAGGAAAAAGGAAAAAGATACCTGTGGGAAGTGGTACTTAGGGGGGAGTGAAATATACCACTCAAATCACAGTGTTCTTTATGGAAAAGAAATAAAAGAAGAAATATTTTTTGAAAAGTTTGGCTTAGAACCACAATTTTATTGAGACTTCACGCATGTGAGCTGTGGCTGGAATACACATCTTATAATTTAGAAACCTGAAGCTTCATACCATCTACACACACACACACACACACACACACACGCACACACACAGCGAGATTATTCTCCCTAGCAAAATAGAGTATAATTTCATCACATAGTCAGTGCTTTATTTTAACTGACAAACTAAAGGCTTTTCCTACAAGGCCATTAGTAAGACAAATGAAAAAAATAAACTTATTTCATTTGCTAAGTGAAGATAATTTCTGAGAACAAAATCTGACAGGAGTTGGTTTAAAATGTAATTAGTTATGAACATTTTTCAAATTAAATTGTTGTATTTTTAATATTAACATATATAGCTATTATATAATATAATATTATGTTGAAATAACTGTTACATGAATGATTTGAAGTACTACATCTGAAAACAAAATTCTTGCTTGTTTACAAGCACATTCATGTTAAATGTGATATTTTGTATTTTCAAAATGTCAGGCTGGTGATTTGGAGTTAAAAGAGTAGACATAATTCCATCCACTAAGCAAAAGGATAATCATGCTACTACTATATTAAATTCAATTTCAACTTCTTTTTCTTCTTTCACTCCTTCCACCTTCCCTCCCTTCCTCATTTCCTTTCTTCCTATTTTAGATCACTCAAGCTGCTATAAGAAAATACCTTTGAATGAGTAACTTATAAACAGAAACTTGTTTCCTCCCCACCCCACCCCCCAAAAGAAACCATTTTTTTTTTTAATGAGTACAAATTTCCTAAGTACAACTTTAGGAGTAAGTCTAAGCACAAGGCACCAACAGAGAGCACACTCCCAGGTTCAGAGATGGTGCCTTCTGGCTGTGCTCACAACATGGAAGGAGCAAGCAGGGGCCATGGGGTCTCTTTCACTGGGGCACTAGTGCCATACTTGAGGGCCTCACGGAGGTCTCACTTAGGAAAAATCTTGCATTGGAAATGATGTTTCCATATAGAAATTATTGAGGAACACAAAAACTCAGACCATAGCAATTCCATTTTTTCTTCCTTTCCTTCCCTAGACCTTCTGTGTTCCATCCCCCTCCTTTTTTAAAGACACCATTTGAGATGCCCTCTTCCCATACCAGAGTGCCTGGTTCAAGGTCTGGCTCTACTTCTAATTCCAGCTTCTGTTAACACACACCTTGGGAGGCAACAGATACTGGCTCAAGTACTTGGGTCTCAGTTACCCAGATGAGAAACACAGATTGGGTTCCAGGCTGCTAGCTTCCATCTGGTCCATCCCCAGCTACTGGAGGCATCTGGGTAGTGAACCAGCAGATGGGAGTTCCATCTCCCATTTTCTTTCTCTTTCTTTCAAATAAAATGAAAATAAATAAATAAAAATTCAAGAAGAAAAAACTAAATGAAGATATAAAGACTACATACATCAGAGTGTACGATGTGCATAGTCAGAAACAGTACAACCAATTAGAAACAAGAGGCATCATATCAAATTAAGCTTGCTTAGTTTTCATATTCATAAAAATTATACATTCAAAATGATTTTTGAAAACAAATTTCTCACATCAGTTTCTGTCAGTGCTTCAAGAGTTCTTCTTCCCTTTCTCTTCAAATTTTTCTTTGTTTTTTCCACCTTTCTTCTAACATTTGCTTTCCTCTCAAGTATATCATTAAGTGTCTAAAAGACAATCAGATATTCAGTTGTGCACATTTACAATACTATTATACTGGCTTAGACCAAAAGTATCTAAGTAACTACTTTGTTTTGTTTTGTTTTGTTTTTGTTTGTTTTTGTTTTTGTTTTTGACAGACATAGTTAGACAGTGAGAGAGACAGAGAAAGGTCTTCTCTCTATTGGTTCACCCCCCAAAATGGCTGCTACGGCTGGCGGGCTTTGCCGATCCAAAACCAGGAGCCAAGTGCTTCCTCCTGGTCTCCCATGCAGGTGCAGGCACCCAAGCACTTGGGCCATCCTCTACTGCCTTCCCGTAAGTGACTACTTTTAAAATACAGCATTTTCTTTCTTTTCTTTTTTTTTTTTTTTTTTTTTTTTTTTTTGACTGGCAGAGTGGACAGTGAGAGAGAGAGAGACAGAGAGAAAGGTCTTCCTTTACCATTGGTTCACCCTCCAATGGCCACTGCGGCCAGCGTGCTATGGCTGGCACACCGCACTGATCCAAAGCCAGGAGCCAGGTGCTTCTCCTGGTCTCCCATGTGGGTGCAGGGCCCAAGGACTTGCGCCATCCTCCACTGCCCTCTCTAGCCACAGCAGAGAACTGGACTGGAAGAGGGGCAACCGGGACAGAATCCGGAGCCCTGACTTGGACTAGAACCCGGTGTGCCAGTGCTGCAGGCGGAGGATTAGCCTAGTGAGCCGCAGCACCGGCCAAAATACAGCATTTTCAGAAAAACATATCATGATATCTAAAATCACAATAGTCTATTTGCATTACATGAGAAAATCAAAATGCATTCAACTTTAGTAGAAAAAATTGATACGCTGTGGCGTAGCAGGTAAGGCTGCCACCTGCAGTGCCAGCATCCCATATGGGCTTCGGTTTGAGACACGGCTGCTCCACTTCTGATCCAGCTCTCTGCTGTGGCCTGGGAAAGCAGTGGAAGATGGCCCAAGTCCTTGGGCCCCTGTGCCCCCGTGGGAGACCTGGAAGAAGCTCCTGGCTCCTGGCTCTGGATCAGCGCAGCTCCGGCCTTTGCAGCCATTTGGGGACTGAACCAGTGGATGGAAGATTCTCTCTCTCTGCTTCTCCCTCTCTCTCTGTGTAGCTATGACTTTCATGTAAGGTGAATAAATCTTTTAAAAAAATTAAATTTTCATTATATCATTCTAAATATTTTCATTTCCAAATAAAAACTGTTAGTAATAATCATGTTAAAACATTTTTTCTTGGTGTTTATGTTAAATATCTAATTTCTTAACTATTTTTTTTATCCCTATACCCTACAGTGCTACTGCCATGTACAACCATAATCCTTTTTATCTTAGGCTGCTTGAGGACTCCCCTAACTCCTGACTGATCCTCTTGTGGGCAGAGTTTCTTTTGGCAAGTGTCTAACGGGGATATACTGCTGTGGCTATAGGTAATCAGTTTTATGATATTTTTAGCTATCTGACTAATTTCTTAACTATTAAAATATAATAAAACTGAAAATGATTACTGAACCACAAAAAGATACAAAATCATGGCTATCATAAAAGAAGGGAAAACAAAATCATTAGTCTTTTCTGGAATGCATTATCATTCTAACACAATTACACTAAGGCTTTTGAAGCAATTAATAAATTCCCTTTGATAATTTAATAGGGGGCCATTATTAAAACCATTTATCCCACTAGGTGTTGGCATAAGTTATATATATTCATTACATGAGCACAAAGACAGCATTTCAGACCCTAAATGAGGTAGTACTCAGAATCTGTTTTCATGTTTTATGACCTTGCAACCATTGCTCAACCTATGTGAAGTTCAGTTATCTCAAGTTTATGATACAAGGCAAATCCTTCCTGCCTAATTCATGGGGGGAGGCTTTAAAAAACAAAATAAGTATTTACAATGAGAATATTTTGCACATTTCAATTTCATAGTCAAAGGCACTTTGAAAATTATTAATGACCAAGATATCAATATCAACTTACATAGTAATTTTCAAAGAAAAATTGTCTTATAGTGAAAATGGCCCAAATAAATGTAATGCATGTGCTCCCTGCAGGGAAGGACAGGAATGTATAACTCTTACCACACCCTCAGGTTCTCCAAAAGACTAATGACAGGATGTTTACATATTTTTCTACTAAATTTTTCTTTGGGAAGGACTAGTCATATCAGTTACTGCCATAAACTTGTAGATCTGAAAATATTTTTTACCCTAGCTGTCTTAAAATAACATGCATGTAAATTTTACCATGAAAATGTCAAGGTGCCTTATAAAAGAGTTCAAGAAAACACAAACTGTTAAGAAGTATCGAAGATTTTCAGATAAATTGACCATAGGGACAAACCACACCACTTATCCATTTGAAAGCTGCTTTTCCCAAGAGAACTCTTAAGACAGAGCATGGGGTCCTAGATATTAAGTGTGGCTATACAGTTTCACTAAAGATCAGTGGTGTGGTCCTGAAACGCTCATAGTTTACTTTGTTTGCCTATGCTTTTCCTATGTAAAATGGTAATTATCCAAAGAATAATATAAACTCACATACACGATTTACCAGCCTTAATATTCCTTCAAATTCTCATAAACGCTCACATTAGATTGATCTTTGTGGAGATTTCTGATTCTTACAGCATCCTCTTCCAGTTTCAACAGAGGTGCCTCCATGCCTGCCATGGTTAGGTTATATATTGCTTTCCTTTGCTGAAGATCTTGCCTCTCAAATATCTGAGATTCTTGAATGGAAAACAGTCGTCTCTGCCACCAAAAGATTTTTAAGTAATTCATTGTTATTAATTACTGAAGCATTTATTAACATTGGTTAATAACATAACATTTTGTTATTTAAAAATAAAATACGTGCTGCCACAGAAAGCAGTGAGTTCAAATACAGCATATTTAAAGAGCAATGGTTCTCAGTATAAGAAATGAGAGAAAAAATTAATAGGCAACAAAAATAAAACATGCTCAAGTAAGTATAGATGGACGATAAGTCAGAGAACATAACCCTAACAACATATAATGGAATATATGCAATTCCTACAACCTAAGGCAAAATACAACCAATGAGTAGGAAGTTGATAATAAAATATTAGACAGAAAGGATTGATGAGACTGTGAAGTTGTTATACAAAGATATACAGATATATAATAGAAAAATCACAAAATTTGTGTTTGTTTCAAAGAGAACCAAAGTTCAAGATAATCTGAAATAACTCTTTTGGATTGTTTTGCATCTTGATTTCATTTTTCTTACAAAAATAATTTCAAATACGTGTGTCTTTCCTAAAGAGGAAGCATTCCAGAAACATGTCACAAATTAAACAAAAAAAAATGTAGTTCCAAAGAATATGCAAATAGTGAATAAATATTTAAAATTTCAAGTTGATTTTGCTAGTTATATGCTTTAGATTCAAAAATCTTTATATAGAAACATCACAGAATATTTCTCTTTCAGGGTTAAATAAAGGAATTCAAGGGAAAGACACTAAATGTAAAGAAAACATAACATCATCACAAAAGCAAACCAAAGAGTTCAACACTTAGGAATAAGATCCCACTGCCCTTTCACTAGACTGGCAGAAATTCCCATTAAGCCACACAATGAGATATGTGTATAGGAGGTCAGTTTCTTTATGCATGAGCAGACGCAGCTAGTTGTACACAGAGGGCAACTGTCATCAGCTAAAGAACGAAAACTGCTGGCTTGCAAACCAAGTAGTGACAAGATGCCTCATTACAGGCAAATTTAAAATGCTAAGCAAAATACAAATTAAAGGAAGAATAAAATATTAAAACCAAATTAGTATTACCTGAATTATCATTCCAGCAGACACCTGAGCTCGAATGAGCCTTTTCAAGAATTCTTCTCTACCCTGTATGTTATCAAATTTTTAAAAATGAGAGTTTTATTCACAGAAAAATCAATAAACACATTTTTAAGGTTTCTAACACAAGACACATTTTACTTATGTTGCAAAAAAGAGTAAAATATTCAGTATAGTTTGTGTATTATGGAGTTTGAGAACACACTCATACACACACACACACACAAACTGGTATTAGCTGAGGCAAAGTAATAGCTATACAACATCAGGACACAGACTACAAAATTGAGTTACATTTAATGGATACCTTAGTCCAGAACTTAGAAAAGCAATGAAATCCTAAAGTGAAAGCTAGACAGTTATCAGTTCCTCTTTTATTAAAAAATAAATAAATAAATACTGTCATGGGGTAGGCACTGTGGTGAAGTGGGTAAAGCTGCTGCCTGCAGTGCCCATATAGGCACTGGTTCCAGTCATGGCAGCTCCACTTCTGATCCAGCTCTCTGCTAATGTGCCTGGGAAAGCAGTGAAAAACGGCCCAAGTGCCTGGGCCCCTGCACCCATGTGAGAGACCCAGAAGAAGCTCCTGGGACCTGGCTTCAGCCTGGTTCAGCCTCAGCCATTGTGGCCATTTGGGGAGTGAACCAGCAGATTGAAGACCTGCCTCTGCTCTCCCCTCTCCCCTCTCCCCTCTCCCTCTCTCTGCTTCTGCCTCTCTATAATTGTGCCTTTTGAATAAATAAATATTTAAAAATATACTACAGTGCCACTTTAATATTTAATATTACTTTCTAAAATCAGCACATTCAAATTCAAAAATAAGATAGATGCAATTCAAGTGTGAAGTCTGAAAAATATTATCAGCATCTCCGTTTGGTTAGAAGTTTCTTTTTTGTTGTTTTTTCTTTCTCTTTTCAATCATTCCTTGAAAGTTATTGTTTAACAAAATCATTGGGGAAAAGTCTTTGAAATCTGGATAAATTATCTAAAATTATTTAGAGTCTTATAAATTATTACACATAATAAGAATCGGAAGAGTTTATAAAATTCCTTCTGTTTTAAAATTCCACATTGGAGCTCCTTGAGAGAAGAGGTAGCTTAGATTTTAAGCAGTCCTCCAGATGCCAGAGATTTATAGCTTTGTATAGAGCAACAGTGCAAGGTCAGAAGTGTTTCTAGTATCCTCCACCTCCTTACTGACATTGCTCAGGGTCTATAGAGACAGTAAAAAGAAACCACCTTGTTTTTTGTCTCTTTCAATCCAACCTCTGCTCCATGTAACAACCCATGAAAATCATGCTCTCCTAAAATAAAAGAATAATTCCAAAGAAGGAAACACAGATGAAAAGTGATAAAGCATTATGTTTAATATGTCATTCTTACTAGGTATATGCCTAACAACTAACCAATTTATACAATTCTATATTTTGATTTTTCAACAGAAATTATCAGCCTCTTCTGACATAACAACTTTGGGGCAGTTTTATCAATGTGTTCAATATTTAACAGAAAAGGACCAAAATTTATATGTTGTCTATAGTCTGGAGAAAACTATGTGATTTCCAAAACAGAATGCTACTTTAGACCTTTGTCTAAGACTAATTAAAAGTGTGTGTGTATGTGTGTGTGTGTGTGTGTGTGTGTTGGGGAGATTAATTGGTGAACAAGTCAAAGCTGAAGAGGTAAACAACTATCAGATTATGCAGACTCTTTAAGGCACATTAAGAAAATTAATGAACAATGTTAAGCAAAGTGTGTACTTTAGAAAGATCACTCTGGCTGCATGACGGATTGATTAGTTTGTGTTTCCTTAAAATTCATTCATTCATTGAAGTTTTTTCTTTAATCATCAACTAGTAAGAGAGCATCCCACTGTTTAAATGAATGTAAGGCTCTTAACTTAGATAAATGAATATTGTACAAAAAGAATTTATGGATATAAAGTTACAAAAACTCTGTAGGTCAGAATTATATGAGAAGTAATTTTAAAATAAACAGGACCTCTGAAACTGCAAGTGTAAAACAATTGCACTTCTTTCAAAAAGAAGTGGAATAATCTATATTTTAAAACCCATGTAACTCTACAAAATCAACTCAACCTGACACCAATGGACAAATCTGCACTCCCTATGGAGAAATATTTAAAACTTCTCTAAAAAATCATTTCTATTTATTTATTTATTTTGAAATGCAGACAGAGCAACTTCCATCTATTGGTTCATTTCTCAATACCTGGGGCGGGCTGAAGCTAGGAACTCAAGTAGGTCTACCAGAGTGCGGCATGGTTCTAACCACTTGAACCATCACCTGCTGGCCTCTAGGGTATACATTACCAGAAAGCTGGAATCAGGAATAGAGCCGGAACTTGAACAAAGCACTCCAGTATATACATAGATAGATACAGACACAGATACATAGATATAGATATAGATATAGATATATAGATATAGATATAGATATAGATATAGATATATAGATATACACACACACAAACACATCCCACATGGCATCCTAACAGCTACACCAAATGCCCACTCTAGTTTGAAATTTCTGTCTAGCACCTCAGACATTTGCCAAGCCCTGTCTCCTGCAATATCCCAAAATCCCTGTAGGATTCAGGCACCAAAGTCAAATGCAGGGTCGCAAGAATAGGAGGTACCTAGTGCTGTTTAGGCTGCCACTTTCACATTTGGACAAGACACAAGGTCGTGAGCATGGTTTTAGCTGGATGCTCTGAGTTGAGGCCTTCTCTGATGCTATCCTCTTAACTGAAAATATGATTTCCCTACCAGGGCCCTGGCAGAACACCCAGAAGATGGGAAGTTCCCAAGAGAACCAGCGACTTTCTTTCTAAAACCCTCACAGCACCCTGGAGTATACCAAAGACTGATGGAGGTGAGCTCTGGTGGTCAGAGGTCTCAGGCCCCAGGGTGTAACACCTAAGTGAGGGCACTTATCTTCGCATCCCATTGTCATTGGTGGTGTCCCTGTGCAGCTTACTCTGGAGTTTGTTGGGCCAACTATTTTTGCTGGGAGGGGAACCAGGCAGCACTGGGCAGAGAGATAGGCTGAGCTGATATGGGACCAACAACCTTGGGTCAACCCCACTGTGAGCCACAAGGTTGAAAACAAGCCTTCAGATCTGCTCCAAGCTGGACTAGGATGGCAAGGCACCCTTCCCATATCCACCAGTTTTTGCATATGAGCTGTCCCTGGAAGGGGAATGACCTTAAGCAAAGTGTTTTAAGTGACTGCTAAAAGGGGACTGAGCAGCTAAATCCACCCAACAATATAAGTACCATGAGTTCACTCCATTATAAAACTACAAAGTGAAGTCCTACTAACAATGATGGATTAAATAAATTTCATGCCCGCTGTGCAGCATCATCTTGTTCCACCTTCACAATGTTCCCTTGGTCCTTCAGGAAAATGGAAATGACAGATGACAAAAATTAACTGAACAATCAAAACTGGTATGTGATGGAACCAGGACTTTATCTTATTGATTTAGCATCTCAGTGATACCTAAGACACTTAGGACTTTCAAAATTATGGGGATATTTTGTGTAGAACCTCATGATATCCATGAGCCCCTCTCCTTGCTATGAGGCTTTCCAGGCAACTGGTACACCACCTTCAGTTCTGTGGCTCAGACACCTGTACCAGACATGGGCCTGGAGCTGACACTTGGGATGAGAGAGGTGCCAACCTGCTAGAACTGAGAGAGTTGGCTCTGAAACAAAATCTGCTGGGAAAGTGAGCAGCTCTGGGGAGATGCTACCTTTTAATTATGCAACATGAATTATGTAGCTGCTGAAAACAGAACCAGGATTAAATGAGTACCAATTACCAGTAGGTAGCATTAACATAAGAACTAGAGTATAGTCTGCTTAGTAAAACGCTGATGGCACCATCATTGAAAATGTCTAGAGAGAGGTGCTGGAGAATGATAAAGAGCCACAGTGGTTGGAAAAATGCTTCCTGGTTTAATAATGTACAAGTACCAGCCCGGGCACTTTCCAGAATGCTTTGCAAATACTGGTGTATACATGCAGCCCTATCTTTAGAGGACTCCATGTCCATGGAAGCCTTGTGCACACTGATTGTGAATACTGTCAATAAGAACAAGCTTTGATAGGCATGCATTGTAGCTTACATGGCGCTGTGCAAAAGGCAGGCTGCCTCTCTCTCTCTCTCTCTCTCTCTCTCTCTGTGTGTGTGTGTGTGTGTGTGTGTGTGTTACTGCTGTAAGTTCATCATCACACCCACTTAGTGAAATAACTACCATCAACCACTTTCAAAGTGAAGAAATCCGAGGCCATGGAGCTCAGGGACTTTGTCACCTGGCTAAGTTTTCCAGCAATTATTGGCACCCAGGACTGTATGACGGCATAGCATGGACACATTCTACAGCACATTAAAGAAAGCTCTCTGCTGTGTCTCCTCTGCTTCCAGTACTGGGTCTTTCATATAATATTTGCTGAGTGAATAATTTATTGAACAAATGGATTTAGTATTAACAAACTAGAGGGCTTTTGTTTTCTGAGTGAGTTTGTTTGTTTTTTAGTTTCTAGGTTGGAGAATTAAATTGTCCATGTGTGGGGCTCTTTCAAACTCAAAAATAATTTTTTAAAAATCTCTTTTAATGAGGCATCTTCAAAAAGTCCATGGGAATGCATATTATGAAAATAATGTGCAGGGATTTCATTTTTGCAATCAAAATAAATTCATATCTAAAATTTTTTTACTTTGAGAGGCAGACATGAAAGATGTGGAGAGAGAAAGAAATCTTCCACCTACTGCTTCACTCTCCAAATAACTGCAGCAGCCAGGCTGGAGCAGGCTGAATCCAGAACCCAAAAACCCATCCTAATCTCCCATGTAAGTGGTAGGGAGCCAGTTACTCAAGCTAACATCTGCTGCCTCCCAGGGTACATCTTAGCAGGAATCTGCATGGGAAGCAGAGTGTCTGGGACTCCAACCAGGCACTCCAATATGGAAGGCAGCCATCCCAAGTGGTGACTTAACTACTGTACCAAATGCTCATC